AAAAAAGACAAGAGAAAATACACTAAGGTGCAAACAGCATTATGAGAGGATTGTTTTCTTCTCCTTTTCTGTATTTTCCATATTTAAAATATTTTTAATTTTAAAATTATATAAATGGGGAAGAAAGGAGCAATGATTGGGCTGGAAAACATGCAGGAGTCTGTCCTGAATTTGGGGCATAGCTGCCAGGTTGGGAGATGTGAGGTTCTGGGTGGGCCCAGCAGGGGGCAGGGCCCTCCTGGGTAGCACTGATGGGGTCTTGGCCACAGTTGCCCCTCTCTGGGCTCTTGGGGGATCCTGGGTACAATGGGAATAGTCCTTCTCCTGGAGGGTGGTTGGGATTTTTCATATAGATAAAGGAAACCCTAACACTTGCCCACAAAAGTTACACAATTTCTGGAGAATCTAACAATCNGCCCCCTAATACAGCAGCTCTTCCTGGAGGTCCGAGCCATACAGCTCGGCCAACATCTTGAGCCTGGGCCCCCAATCATTGAGGAAGTCGTAATCGGTGTCGGAGTAGGATGAATCGGTGCCCAGGGAGCTGAGGGACTCGGCGACGGACTGGGAGCCCTCATAGCCGTAGACGTGCAGCATGTCATAGGGCGGGCAGCCGCCGTCGTGCTCCGCCTCATCCTTCTTCACCTCGATCATCGCGGCCATGTCCCCGGGCCCGCCCTGTGCCCCGGGTGTGCGCTGCGGCGGCTTCTGCACCCGCGAGTACAGCGGTGGCCGCGCGTCCGGCGACAGCCGCGGGGACTTGGCTCCGCCACCGTGGCGCACCGAGTTGAGCACCGACACGTCGTAGCTGGTGGTGTCCATCTCGCCGCCGCCCTCCTCATCGTAGGTGACCAGCTGCTCGTGGATCTCTGGCACGCTCTTGCCGAGGGCGCGGGCCTGCTTCCGGAGCCGCCGCCGCAGGAAGATGAGCAGGGTGATCACTGCCGGACAGCGAGCGACAGCGACAGCAGTTAGACACTGCCGGCCTGGTGGACCCCTGCCCCCTCCCTTCCTCACCCTCGGAAATTCAAGGGCCAGTCCGGACTCCTCCATGACTGGGCCAACGTGGACGCCTGGGGCTCCACCCGTCCCCGTGGGACAGTCATCTGTCCCCACACTCTTGGTCCAACCTGGCTGTCACAAACACTGGTGTGCACGAGCGGAGAGGAACAGAGTGGGGCTCGCTGGGGTTCTTTCTCCTCTCTCCCTCTCAGCTCTGTTTAACCGCATCCTCATTTCCTTCCTCCTTGTCCCACTGTGGCAAATTCTTCCACGCCCTGTCCCAAAGGCCAGGAGGCCAGAGTTTGGGGCAGAAATGGGGGAAGGGATGGAATTGGAATTTGGAGTGCAAAGGTTCTGAGTCACTACATTGTTGACGACTGTGTTGATGACGGTGGATATTGGTGGTGCCAGTGGACGTGAAACTCATTGCACTGACAGCAGCCACCCTCTTGAGTACCAGCTGTATATGGGCTGGCACTGCATTGGGCACGTGCTCATGTTACTTCACTCAACGTAGACATTATTATCCCTATTCTACAGTTAAGCAAACTGAGCTCAGAGAGGCCAGGGGACTTGCCCAGAGTCCCATGTTCAGGCAGTGCTGTGGACGGTGACCCTGCTGCAAGCTCTGAGGGGTGTGGCTGTGTGAGGGACTCAGCTCCCTGAGGGGGAGTGGACTGTGTGGTACAGAGAGCTCCCAAATTAGGCTCAAACCATCCCCTGGGCTCTGTCCTTGAGCCTTTAACAAACTGCTGCATACTTAAGTATATGGGATGCCCAGGGAGACATCCTTCCCGAGCCTCAGTTTCCTTGTCTGTGAAGTGGAAATGATGACTTCTCTGCTTTGTTTATATTTTGGAAGGTGGTTATGAGGTTAAATGCAATTCCATATGTGGTGTGGATGCCATCATCATTAATTATTATTAAAAGGGGAATCTGAGTCTGGACCTTCTGTTCCAGAAGCTCCAGAAAGGGGTCATACCCAGAGAACCTTTCAGGGGAGACATTGAAGGTGCCCCACTGTATCTGACCTTGTCACTGTGGTGCACAGGGCGGTGCTCTGTAATCACCCAAGGGCTTCCTGCCCCACCTCATGGCAGGTGAAATGCAGGATAATTGATACACCTTGGAGGAGCCCTCAACCATTAAATGATGGGATTGGGTGGATAAACACCAGCTCCTCTTCCGCAGGTGGAGAGACGCTGAGGTGTAGCTCCGGCTGCCTCCAGGTTCCCAGCGGGTGAAGCTACTTGTCCATGGTGGTCACTTCCCTGATTCCTTGCCCTTCACTAGCTGCCTCCCCTCCCTGCTTCTCTCCCCTTTTCCTTAGGAGGTTTCCGGGGAGCACCTCCCAAATAAACTACTTGCACCCAAAACTTTTCCCAGGACCTGCTTCCTGTGAAATCCAAACTAAGGGAAGGCCTAAAATGCTACAAAATTTCTGAGGCCCAAATAAGAGGGGGGGGGAAGAAAAAGAGATATCAAGACTGGAGGAATTCTATCAAACACAGAAAGCACCCAGGACACAGTCTCAACTAGACATTGTTAAATTTTCCACTTTAGAACTGGATTTTTTTTCAAAATTAAGTGTTGTGTAAATACATGCCTGAACAGTGCCTAGCACACAGTAAGTGCTCAAAATATGTAAGTTGCAGGAGCAACTGTTATGGATAAGGAAGGTAAGGAAGATATTTTAAAGTGGAGATGGCCTCTCCCCAATGAGTGCAGAGGGGTCCTAACACCACGCAACCCAGATGCCCAGTTCGGTGTAGCCCTCATCTTTGTGTCACACCCGTGGACCCTGAAGCCCAGGATGGTGCACAAGCCAGTGCTGCCTTGCAGGTTGGAGGAGGGGCTGGGCCTGAATTACTGTCCTCTCCTCCTCCTGTGAAGCCCCTCCAGCCTCTCGACCCCACCCTGTCCAGCACTGACCTGTGATGGTGAGGATGCAGAGGAAGATGCCCACCAGCGTCCGGATGCTGACGCCTGCCTGGGCGGCCAAGTCCTCGCAGAAGGTGAACTCCCCGTGCTCGTTGCATTTGCACACGGCCACGGCCAGCGTGCTGGTGCCTGTGAGGCTCGGCTTCCCATTGTCCGAGATGAGCACCGGCAGGAAGTGGACCTTGGTACGCTCCTGGTCAAATTGCCTGTACTTGACCGTGATGTTGGCTGTATTATCTGGAAACATCAAGGCAGTGGAGTCAGGCTCTGCCAGGAGCACCCACCACCCTAGGCCACATGGCCGGGGAAGCTGCTCCTCCAGAGAGCCCTCCCTGACCGCACCAGCTTGTGTATTGCCTGGGCTGTGTCTCTCCACTTTACATCGCCTGCCTCATGTTTTAGCCGTTTAAGCGCAGGTCTGCTCCTCCACAGACGGGATATTTTGGAAAGCTGCTTTGACCCAACTTCCAAGAATGGCTCGGCCAGAATGTAAAATCCCTGCTTTCTGTTTCTGTGGGCGACTGATATGCCTGACCTCATCCCCTTCCCTAAACGCACTCCAGTAACAGGCAGTTTTCTCTTTTAGCTCAATTAATTAATGATTGTTTCAAGCTTTGACAAGCAATCAGGAAAAATAAAGTTTTAAAGCCTTTTAGTATTATGCTAACTTCTAAGGCTGTTTCTGCTATCCCTGAAAATCCATTGTTATAAAGGAAGCTTACAACAGTAAAAACAATGCATGTGTTAACCGGGAGCACAGAGAGAATAGTTCCATATGTAATGGAGGGTTTCCTGGGTGGTCCGGAATGGGGATATGCTTTGATCCAAATATTGGCTCCTCCTCCCAGCTCCAGTCAGTGGTTTCATGAACATAAGAATTTCTCAGGGAGCTTAAACACACTGATCTTCAGACCCTTCCCCCTCCTCCTAACATGTGCACGTGTGTACACACACACACACACACATGCACACACACATGCACGAACACACACACACACGCACACACACACATACACACACGCACACACACACACAGATTTTGGGCAGAGGCCAGATAATCTGCCCTTTGTAGGCTCCTGAGAGGTTGTAATACCAAAGATCAGAAGAGGGCCCAGGATCTACTGAACCACACTGTGTTGGCACACTCAAGAAGCCAGCTGAGAGCCAAGGAAGCTGCCTTTTAGATTTCAAACAAAAGCCAAATACATTTCATTATTCATAATTACATTTCAATATTAAGTCTATTATGATTGAAAATAAAGGATATGCCATTGACATTTTATGGGAGAAATTAGAGATTTTGACATACATGACATTCATGACATCAGTGAATCTGAGACCAACAGACTGGCCTCCTGGTTGCATATGGGTGTCCTTGGGGTGGGATTGATGCTCTCTTCCCCATTGCAGATCCCTACTCTGAGGTGGACATTGGGGATGGGGTGACAGGCGTTTTTGCCACATTATTTACTTCTAAAGACAGCTGAATGTTGAATGGTCCTTCATTGACTGTCTACACTGTCTATACATCACGGACCTTCCCTATCCCACAGGAGGCTCCTTAAGGACAGGCTGTGTCTGATTCCCTGGGTTTGTCCTCTCCTCTCAGGGACCCCACTCCTCAAATTTTCTCAGAGGTGGCAATGGGCTGTTTCAGTACAGGGGTCCTCAGCAACCACAGTTTCACCAATCAAGGACAAGCGGGAATCCCAACTTGTGCTGGGTGAAGGATCACTCAATTTAGACCCAAGGGACATTTTCTCTATTTTTCTGAGGAAGTTGCAGAGGCCATGGAAACCTGTCTACATCAGCTGGAATTAAATCAACTCAGTATCATCACTCTAGAAAGCACATACTCATCAGAAGCTTGGATTGGTCACTACTGACATCACAGGACCCTCTGGGCTGTGACTGGTGGACCATACCCTGTTCAGGGGCCACCTAGAGGTAAGTCATCATTGTAGCTGAATTAAGACAAAGTTCACTGTATTCTTGGGATTTAGTTTTTCACATTTCCAGTTTTGAGTCTTTGGGAGTGACCTCAAAGCTCCCCATCACAGGGCAGTTTGTAATTTTGCAGAGGCACAGAGTTTCCAGTGTGGGAAAGGATCCATCTCCTGCACCCCGTACCTGTTCTGTGATGCTCACTCACTTGACCATCTTATGGGGAATGGCAGGCCATGTGGACTTGGCAGTTTGGCCAGGGTGGCTCTGACCATCGCAAAGCCCGGGATTGTACAATGTATGTTGCCAGAGTTGTACAAAGTATCCCATAACTTGAAAATCCCAGTGGTAGCCTGGTCCTTGACCCTGGTTGCTTTAAGACTTAAATAACCCGACCCCTGACCCTGCTAAGATCCAAGTGACTGCTTTGTTGCGCACCGTGATTATCCGTGAGGGTGAAGTTGCTGTCCTCAGTGCTCAGGGCAAATTTGAACTTCACGTTTTGTGGCGTTATGTCCTTGTCTGTTGCAGAGATCCTCAGGACCAGCTGGACTGTGGAACACAGAGGATGGTCAGTGGTGGTGCTGGGTGGCCTGGGGCTCAGTGATGGAGACTTTAGGTTTAGATGTGACCATGGCTGCCTCTCACCTGCAACACTAACCTAAATGGCTTTCATAAAGACACTCTTTCTACCAACCCCTGCATCCCCCTAATCTACTCTCCAAACAGTTTCTCTTGAGCATCAGTTTACCCATCTGTAAAATAAGGATAATGTTACTTTCTCCAGGGCTGTTGTACAGGTTATATTAAACTCAGCAGAACTCCAGCTGACTGGATGGGAGGTTCTGCCCTTCAGCCTGCCCCACCCTCCCACCTGAGCCAGACTCACCTGGCCCTGGGCTGCATTCTCACACACTTTGGGCTCATAGGGCTGGGCAAACTCTGGGGCATTGTCATTCACATCCAGAACTTCAATGTGGACTTGCACGATGGATTCTTTGCCTGTGGGGGTCCCTGCAAGGGAGAGGACTTGTCACCACAGGGGCCTCAGCTGATGCTGGCCCTGAGTGTGTGGGGTGTGGATAGATAGTCCTGGAGGGCTCCTCCATGAAAGCTACTTTTTGCAGGGAGAGGGGGCTATGGACCTCTGGAAGAGAGGCCAGCAGTTGTGTTCTGGATGGAAGGAGTGTGGAAGAAGAAGGGGCAAATCTTCATATGTAAGAAAGTTTACTGAAGTATTACTTGTGAGAATCAAAAAGGTAAACAATGTAAGTGCATTTAAAAAGGTATCAATTAAATTAACGAAATCAATAATTTAATTAAGTAATTAAATGGACTTAAATAAATAAATGCAGTTTTGTATTTTTTTTTAAAGATGACTCGGTAAGGGTATCTTAACCCTTGACTTGGTATTGTCAGCACCACACTCTCCCAAGGGAGCTTCGGGCCAGCTCCTAAATGTAGTTTATTTAAAGAAATAAAATAAAATAATTACAAAAAAACTAAAAAGGTAAACAACCTAAAAGATGCTGAGATTTCGTTAATAAATTAGGCCACTGAAAAAGAATGGAATATATGACCATTTACAATGCCCATGCAAATTACATTTTAAAAATGTAATTAAAAAATTATTTTAGTACCATGAGAAAATTGTTCTGGAATAAGGTTAAGTAAAAACACAGGATATTTTATACAAATATTATGATCTTACTTATTTAAAAATATGTATAGAAAAAAGACAAGAGAAAATACACTAAAGTGCTAACAGCATTAAGATAGGATTGTTTTCTTCTTCTTTTCTGTATTTTCCATATTTAAAATATTTTTAATTTTAAAATTATATGAATGGGGAAGAAAGGAGCAAAGATTGGTCTGGAAAACAGGCAGGAGTCTGTCCTGAATTTGGGGCATAGCTGCCAGGTTGGGAGACCTGAAGGTCTAGGTGGGCCCAGCAGGGGGCAGGGTCCTCCAGGGTAGCACTGGTGAGGTCTTGGCCACAGTTACCCCTTTCTGGGCTCTTGGGGGATCCTGGGTACAATGGGAATAGTCCTTCTCCTGGAGGGTGGTTCGGATTTTTCATATAGATAAAGGAAACCCTAACACTTGCCCACAAAAGTTACACAATTTCTGGAGAAACTAACAATCTCAGAGTTGGAAGCTGCTTCAGATTTTGAATCCAACCCATTAACTGGGGCATAAACAACTCCCAAAGGAGTATTTCCCAAACATCCATGATAATAAGAACCATATGACACCTGTGAAATGCACATTCCTAGGCGCCATCTCTGGCTCCCTGGACCAGAACCTTCAGGGAGGAATCTGAGAAGCTCTGTTTCATAGGAGCCATAGGTAATTCTAATCACAGAGACGTCTGCGCACCTGCTTTATAACAGTGCTTCTCAAACTATAATGTGCAAGAGATTCTGATGTTCAATATGGGGGTGAGGACCGAGATTCTACACTTCCAGCAAGGTCTTAGGAGATGCAGATGTTACTGGTTCAAGTAACATCCACTTGGGCATGGAGGCTCCATCACATCCCAGCCAAGGGGTGCTTCAGCAGGTGCTTGGCA